AAAATGAAATTGTCAGTGTTCAACCATTTCAAGAGATAGCATATAATCAAAGTCAATGGTAATGAAGGAAGAATTTTAAGCTGCACTGAAGACATTGGCAAAGAACAGGACCAATTTATGGAATACAAATTGAAATGTTTCAACAAACTAATGCAACACTGGAGACACTCTTCTATGCCAAGAAATTTGGAAAACCAACTGACTATAAGAGATCCACGTTTGTGCACATTCCAAAGAGATAAGACAGAACATGGAAATTATCAAATAATATCATTAATACCACATGCAAGTAAAATTTCGATAAAGATAATTCAAAAACATTTTCCTTGTAGGCATACAGATAGTACCCTATCACAAGCACCACTATATTTACAGATATATCTTGAAATGTTCTTGAAGAATGCTACAGCATTCCTCAACTTATCACTTCCAACATAGTATAAACACCATGATTGTTCAGTTCAAAATGGCCAATACCCGTGAATTTGCATTCACTAACACTTATGGTATCAATCTTTATGCTTTCCATTTCCTTTTGACGATCTCCAGTTTTCCTGAAGTCATACTTCGTTTATTTTACATTCCGATTATTAATGGATGTTTGCAGTTTTTCTTCTTATTTTGAGTTGTGTTCCATGAGGAAATGATTGAGTTATGTTCTATGAGGAAGTGAAAATCCCCAAAGCTTTGTTGTATCCATGTTATTAAGGTAGACTCTACATTTTTAAGTGCTTTCCAAGCTGAAGAATTCTTCTTTTAGCATGTATCAGACGTTTTGTTGCCATTCATAACATTTCCAGGGTTAATCATTCAGAAATGGGCCACCTATTTCTTTTTCCTAGTCTGTTCTTAGTCTGTAAGCTCTGCTGAAATACCACAGTACAAGGGACTTTCTGAGTTACCCTTGTATAATTACATATGTATCTTTTCTGTATAATTACATAGAATTTGTTTTTTGGACTCCTGATGTGGCACTGTAGGATCAGCACTGGACTGCAAACTACACGGTTAGCAGTTCAAACCCATCAGCTGCTCTTTAGAAACCCTGTACAGGGTTGCTATGAGTTGGAATTGACTCCATGGGACTTAACAACAACAATCTTTTTAGGATAAAAGTGGTAAAGGGCATGAGATAGCTTTGTTTCATTCAAGAAAGGCATTCTGGTGAGTCTTATTTGAATAAATTTGGTTTTATAAGCGTTAATTCTTCATTACTGTTTCTTCTAGAAAGAAAATTCAGTTTTGAAAAACAAAACTAAGGGTACCATAATATATGAGGATGTTTTAGAGGAATTTGAAAATTAAAACAGTTGACATACCCCAGGAAGATAAAGATGTGTCCCCAAATTCCGAACAACATCTTCAGTCAAGTCAGAATGCTCAGAATCCCAGACTAATCCAATTGTAACAATCTCTGGGCAATTCATTAAAACACGACGAATTTTTATTTTTTGACCACAGTTACTCTAAAAAATAAAGAAAACACACAACAGGCAAGTTTTAAAATTATTAAGATATCCATCAGATAGAGCCTTACACAGTTTGCATTTTGTGAAAGGGCAAATTTTAACATATATCTAAAATTTAATACTTTAGTAAGCTAGAAATGTACTTTAAATGAACTATTTGTATTAATTACTGATCAAACAGAAGTTTCTTCTAAATCAAGTACTGTTCTTTAATAATGTAAATATATTAAAGTAAGAGCTCAACTTAAAAAAAAACCAATGCTGAGATAAATAGATCAGAGTATAGAAAGTTACCAAAAACACTTAAAAAATTAAAAACTTAAATTATTTTCATTATCATTTTCATGATAATTCCTGAATGTTTGTTTTTTAAACTGACAAACATAGATAGATACATAAGTCTCCAACTTATACTTACAGGACATTTTCTAAAGTCATCAGTGGTATTTGCTGCTTGCAGCAATTCTGCAAACATTTCAGGCTTAAAGCGTTCATGTCTTTCCATCATTTTTTCAAATTCATTACTAAATAAGAAAGAAGCAGTCCCAAATTAGGCCTATGAACTTAAATCAGATTTAACACATTACACATGAAAAATACTTAGTAAATATAGGCTTGAATTACAGTTTCAAGTTCATATACTGGTTGTGCCTAAAGACAAAGTAATTTTCCTTAACATGAAGAATTATAAAAATTGGCAGCTATATGTTGAAACCAAACCTTATGCTAAGATATAATAATTGTTATTGCTAAGTACCGCCAAGTCGATTTCAACTCACAGAAATCACGTGTAGGGTTTCAGCGGAGCTCTTGGTGAATTTGAACCACTGACCTTGTGCTTATCCTACAGCGCCACACCAGTCCTCAAAGAATGTAATTAATAGTAAGAAAATGCACTTTCGTTGTGGCGCTGTGGGTTAATGCACCAGACTGCAAAGCCATTTGAACTGCAAGGTTAGTGGTTCAAGCTCACCAGCTGCTCCTAGGAAACCTTATCCAGGGTCGCTATGGGTCGGAACCCACTCGATGGCACTTAACAACAACAACTTGTCAAGGATACAGTTCTCTGTCTGAAGGTCATATGTTTCTTTTAAAACGTTACTTATACTCAAAAATTTTTTAAATTCAGTATTTTAAAAAGTTAACAAAGTTACTTTGTTAACGCTGACCTAGCAACAACAAAAATATTGTGAGAAACTCACTTTTTCTGACTCAAAGTTCACAGAAAGAAAGCTACCATTTTCAATCAGGAGAAAGTGATCTGCTGATTAAATGCACCAGGTACAACTAATGCCATTTGGATGCCGATAGCCCTGTGCATTGAGCCATTGAAGGAGCAACAGAGGAGCAGATGCAGCAAAACCAAGAGCCAGAGTACCAGACAGAGCTATGGGCTTCTCAGCCCATGGAGCAAGTAAAGCTGAATGATTTTGGGTAGGATGCTTGTTTGTAGAGTCAGGGTGCCTCCAGGCACTTAACTGAAGTTTGGTGACCTTTAGAGCTGGAGCAGAAAGCCTTCAGGCTGGGGGTTATGATGAAATGGAGTGCCCTTTGGGCATTTGTAAGCAGCTCTAAAAGAGCTTTGTAACATTGCAAGAGCAGGGCAGAGGCCAAAGAGAGGCCTGCCTGTGAGTATAAGAGAGGAGAAGCTGTGCTGACGGGAGAACTGGGCCCTGAATATTTCTGCCCCTGAATCTGAACCTGTTAAAAGTCCTCGTGTGTGCCAGTAGGATAAGCTGTGGACTGCTAGCCACAAGGTCAGTGGCTCAGACCCACCAGCCGGAAACCCTATACAGGGTTGCTATGAGTTGAAACCTACTTGACGGCACAGCAGCAACAACCATGTCTCTAATAAACCATATAACTGTGAGTATAGTGTCTGAGTTCTGTGTGACCACTGTAATGAATTACGAAAGTCAACTAAGGCGACGGTACTGTGGAAGGGATGGCTGGTACTACTTTTTGCAACAGTACAAATAATCTACAAGTATTCAAATACAACCCAATCTACAGTACTTCACAAACACTGCTGTTGTTGAACATTAGGTGCTGTTGAGTCAGTTACAACTAACTGAGCCAACAGAATGAAACACTGCCCAGTCCTGCACCAATCTCATAACTGTTCCTGTTTGAGCCCACTGGTGCAGACACTAAGTCAATCCATGTTGTGGAGGATCTTCCTTTTTTTCACTCAGAATAATGTCCTACAAGTTCATCCATGTTGTGAGGTGTTTTGCAGATGTGTTATTCTTCAACAATGCATAATATTCCACTGTGTATATATACCAAAGCTTTTTAAATTGTTTTTGTGTCAATGGGCATTTAGGCTGTTCCATCTTTTTGATATGTATCTTGCAGACAGCATATTGATGGATCCTACTTTCTTATCTACTTTTCTGCAAGAGATTTGTCCAATACAATATATCATTTGATTTCTTGACTGCTGCTTCCATGGGCTTTGATTATGGATACAAGTAAAATAAAATCCTTGACAATTTCATTATTCAAGGACAGACATAACAAAAAGCACTAAATCTGATATTGCTGTTGTGAAGTGCTGTCCAGTCAGTTCTGACTCATAGCAATCCTGTATAGGGTTTCCAAGCAGCAGCCGCTGAGTTTGAACTGCAGACCTTGAGATTCAAATGACCTTGTGGTCCAGTGCTTATCCTACAGCACCACACCAGGACTCCACTAAATCTGATAGTTAATTCACATTGTACATTTAGTTGTTATTTGATGCCATCAAGTTGGTTTTGACTCACAACCACCCTGAACAAGGTTTGTGAGGCTGTAAATCTTTGCAATAGCAGAAAGCTTCAGCTTTCTCTTGCAGAGTGGCTGGTAGGTTTGAACTGCTGACCTTGTGGTTAGCTGTCCAGTGTTTATCCTACAGTACCACCAACACTCCTTAAATTGTATATACGGTTTTTAAAAACTGACAGCATCAGAGTAGTGTTTAAGAAGACATTTTGAAGTCTATCAGACCTGGATTTCAATCCTTATCAGTCCATTTACCAGATCAACCTCATCAAACCTACTTTTTCTCAACAAAGTAGTATCTTTATTAAAATTAAAAGGGATATTTTACATAAAATCTGGATTCAATTATGTGGATTCAAATTATGACAGAAATAAAATTCTGGGATCCTATACTCTAATTTGCACTGTAGACCAGGCAAAGTCCAATGGGGATATAATTCTTGTGTAAAATACTGCATCAGATCACTGCAATTTTATAAAACTGTTTCAACGTAGAGTTGAAATTTTACAGTTTTAATGTGCAACCTATCTCTTTTTAAACACCATTTTACTTTTCACACAGAAAGGGAAAAATAAGCCTACAAATTGACTTAAGTTTAAGGAATGTTTCTCTAAATCAAGATTTCCAAAGTCTCTTTATATAAGAAAGATTTAGACACACCTAAATACTTATTTAATAATCGTTAAGAAATGCTGTACTACCCCCAAGAAAGCCATGATGCTTAATAATGGAATGACATGGATAATCACAAGACATTCATGCTGCACACCGATGAAAACAGCAATGCTATTTATCAACTGTTGCACTGATGTATTCTAACTGATAATTACTGATTAACATTATGTGCTTTGCATTAAAATGTTTACAAACACTTGTGATCTTTGTTGCTGTTGTTGTTAAGTGCCATGGAGTCAGTTCCGACTCATAGCGACCCTGTACAGGGTTTCTGAGGCTGTAAATCTTTATGGGAGCAGAAAGCCTCATCTTTCTCTGGCAGAGTGGCTGGTAGTTTCGAACTTCTGACCTTAAGGTTAGCAGCCCAATTCGTAACCACTATGTTACCAGAGCTCCTACTTGTGATCTTACTAGATATTTATTACATATCAAATATTTACACTCTTAAATCCCTGTTGATGTTTGGTCAGTATTCAAACAATTCTTATAATAAAGTCTAGGGATCAAACTTAGATTCCTAGCTAGTTAATGTTTCACGTACAGGCAAGAGAAGGAAGTAAAGGTGGGTTGGTGGGAAGGAGTCAAGAGAGAAAAGTGAAAGGAAGGGTAAGAGAAAGAAGTAGGAATACATGACAAATTTTCACTTAAAGAGAATTTAAAAATTGCACATGCAATAATCTGAGGATTTTCACTTTTCCCCCCCTTTCTACTTACCTTAGCTTCCACCCCTATAAAGGGTCACAACAGAACTGACAGGAAACATAGTCAGTACAAAGCAATACCTTAGTAAAAATTAAGAAACCATGTGCACTTCTACCTACTATTGAGCTTATCATTTTAAGATGGCCTTCACAGTTCCATACAGTTGCTATAAGTAGACAGTAAAAGCAATGTTCCAATTTTGGGGGTACACTTTATAGTTATTAGCCTCAAGGAGTGAAATCCTGATTTTATAGGACAAATGCTCAACGTGTTACTAACAGCTTGTACAAATATGCTTAATAGGTCCTTACCATAGAGCTGTTGTAGAAATGTACCGCACAAACTCTGTAAAAGGAAGAGGATCTGATGATGCTCCACAGCTACGACACACGCACTAAAGGTAAAAACATACATTTAATTTATCAATCATAAAACTTAAATATCTAATCAAAGAGTTAAGCTGTCGCACCTGTTCATAGAGGGTCATTGCAAACTTCTGGTGAGTGATGCACGACTTAGAAGTACACATGTCTGCATCTCTGCTTGGCACTATGTGAAAATGAATTCTTTCCAATATATTTTCCTAATTAAAAAAGAAAAAGGCAAATGAATTGCTGATATTTCTGAAGGCATTTCAAAAATGAAGCTTTTTCTAAAGATGATTTTTTTTTTAATGTTTTATTGTGAATTATGTCCTAGTTTACATGGGAGAACATTAGTCTTACATTCAACCTATTGTGTATCGTTTCATTGCCATGGTTACAATCCCCTCCATGCATCATCAACCAACCAAAGGGTATACACACTACAAGTCTGCCCCCCAGTCGTCAGCACACAGCCCCTCTCCCTCTCTGGGTCTAAAGTCCCCAGCTGCTCCATCGCTCCACATCATTGTCTCTGCCTCCATCTCAGGCATCACTGCTTATCTGGATAGGGTCTCGCTCTCTGCTCTTCTCCCTTGATGGTCCCAGGGACCTCCGCTCCTAGGCTGAAAAGTTAATCACTCCCCTCTTTGCTACAAAACATCTACCTTTACATTTCCAACCGTCACAGTCAGTCCTAATAACAATTATTCACTATTGTATCACAAGAGACCTATCCGTATTTCATTTCATCAGCCCCGCCTAGACAGACTGGATACTACTCAGTGGAGATTCTATATTCCTCCACGCCCTGTGGATCTAAGTTCCCTCTTGAAAGCTTGTAAGCCAGTCACTTCTTGCCTTTCCACCCCCCATTTTGGGTAGCTAATGTCCAAGTTGCCCATCCCTGTCTACCCTGTGTATGGAGGAGGTGGGAATGATCCCTGCTGCAAAGATTTGTTCCCTCTTTTGACCTACTGCATCCATAAGTGTAGGTCAAGTTCATCAAATTGTATCAGATTACTCTTTTTTTCCTCTTCTTTCTTCTTCTAGTTGAGCTCTGATCTTCCAGTCATTGAAAGCCAGGTCAAATGGGTATTATCTGCAAGTGTGGGAGTTCTTGTGCATATGCCCTCTCTTCTTATCAGCTGGACGCTTCACTCTCCACTCTAGTCCTCTATGGCTATGTCACTGACTCTGGGGCCAAGAGTCCCTAGCTCTTGCCACAATGCTGGCCAACTACATCTCCACCCGGGTTCACAGGAGTCTATTGAACGTTGTAGGGCTTAGCTAGCAGCTTCATTGCTGTTTTTCCCTCACTTCCCCTTATCAGTGATGAGCATGGTCACCAATCAGAGTGTGTATTCCCACTGAGTCTTAGTCTTGGAAGGGGGTTTACACTGAGGGGACCCGACCACTTGCCTTGACATCTCCTGGGCAAACAACTTGCTTGTTCTTGTAGTAAAGATGATTTTTAAACACTTTTTGAAAATCAACCCACGATGGCTGACATCTAAAATTTAATATTAGCAAAGATTCCTGTTTTCACATTAATGAAAATTGTTGTTGTTAAGTGCCAGCGAGTCAATTCTGACCCATAGCGACCCTGTACAGGGTTTCCAAGGAGCAGCTGGTGAGCTGGAACCACCGACCTTGCAGTTCAAACAACTATGCAGTCTGAGGCATTATCCCACAAAGCCACACCAGGACTCTTAATGAAAAATTTTAAAAGTACTACTTAGATCATCTGTAAACTTAGATCAAAGTATCAATGATAATATATCTACACTAATACATAATGCAGTGAATTTGCTCTGCAACAAGTTTGATATTAGAGTTGAGACTTATAATACAAATCAGTATTTATTTCTGCAATGAGTTCAGTATTAAGCAAAATATGTTTATTTTGGGTTTTAAGTGAGAACAATTACAAACAAAAGAAAAAGGAAAAATATATTTCATTATTATGAATGGCAAAGTAAAGGTTTGCCCTAGGTTAAAAAAACAACAGATGTGATTTTTTAGGCTAATAAAACATAAATATCAAATGAATTCCACAGAAAATAAAACTCTTCAGAAAACAAATCAGAAGATTTGGTCATGCATTATGTGGAGGCTGATATTTTACTTGAGTAAAAGAGAAGCTGCTTATAGGTTTGAACTGCTGACCTTGTGGGTTAACTGTCCAGTGCCTATCCTACAGCATCACTAATGTCAAGAATAAAGAAATTGAAGATTTTAAATAACTTCTGTAATCTTAATCTGATAAAAATCCAATCAAGATGCATTGATAATTATTGGTGATTGGAATGCAAAAGTTGGAAACAAAAATTAAGCATTTGTAGTTGGGAAATAAGGGGTTTCAAAAAGTTCATGGAAAAATTCCATTATATTTTAATTCCACTGTTATATGAAATTTTGAAGCCCCCTTTTATGGCTTTAGTTTTAGAAACAATGACAGATATCACATAGAATAGAATTTTGAAAGACCATTGACCTATTCATTAGAAATACCTTTTTCAACAACATAAATGGCTAAATAGAATACTCGTTTTGGTTTTTTTTTAAAGCCTTTAAGCAATTTTGACAAAAATTTAAATTAATGAGAAAGCTGACAGGCAATCACTAAAGCTGAAGTCTTGACACCAAACAAGAAGTATAAAACATTATGAGGAACTTTATTCACAAAGTCATGGCATAAATTTGTATTTTTTAAATGGAATAATTCTATAATCCCTAAACACTAACTAGAAATATCCAAGTTTACCCAAACTTCATCCAGAACTAGCCAAGAATACTGCTGAAAGTTCTCTTTATATTCAGCAGTTACTGTGAAGATCTTTCTCATTTGTTCACCAATTAGAAATGGCTTAATTTCTGCCTCTCATTTATGTTTTGGAATTAAGTCAGTGACCATTTAAATAATGCATTTTTTGTTGTTGTTATTCCTTAAAATGTCATTACCAGTATACTGTACATACTATGTGTGTGTCTATATATATAATACATAAAAGCTTGATTGAGATTGATTTTTCTGTTACCCAATCCATACATTTAGTAGGCCAGTTCCAGTGACTGTTTGGAGCCAATTTTGTAAGAAGCTCACGTGCTTAGAAGCTTTGTAGCTCTTCCTTAGACTCAGTGTACTATCGGTCATTAATGCTGACAAAGACATACTTCCCGATGTATCATCTTCCTTTAGGTTCAAAAATGATTCTCGAGTTATTTGAAGGATTTCTCTCAAACCTTCATTTTCTTGTTCAAGTTGAAATATTTGTTCTTGTTCCTTGCAACCCTGTTGCTTATCAATTTCAATGGCTTTCCTCATTACTGCAGCCATTTCAGTTATTTGGTCAACATGTGCTTGTTAAGTCCTTGGAGAGCTGCTCTTATAGCTTCATTATTATAACTGGATTAGTGTCATTATTATAATTGAATCATCTTTTTTCCTTGCCATTAGTAGTCTTAATATTTGTTCTCAATATTTGCTCATTATTAAGTTCCAAAGCAGAGTGATGTTCTTCCAGGGCTGTACACAATTCTTTGTTCTCTTGTAATTCTCTGATTTGTCTGTTTTCTTGCTGGATTCCCATAACTCTTGTGGACTGTGGTGAGTGTCTTGCAACTTCATTAAGTTCTTGATTTTCTTCCTGGTACTGCATCATTGCTTCTACTTGCTTACTGAGAGCTATGATTTGTTCAACGAGATTCTGCTGCATCATCACTTCTCAGTCTTTCAACAGGAGCTTTAGCATCAGCAAGTGCATTCTCAATTGTGCAACTAATTTCTAATGGAATACTCCAGTCTCAATTCCTTGTAGCCGTCAGCTATGATAATTAAGAACCCAAGGTCTTGGGCAATGGGACCACCTGCAGGGAACAGGGAATAGAGACATCCTCTCTCCATCCCCAACCCCAGCACCTGTTCAGTTCAGCTCCTTCAGTAAGCAGGCGCAGAACTGGATAGAGTTAGTGGAAAGACAGCAGCGGAGGGAATTGAGGCAAACCCTGTCATTACTGACCCCAGAAAATCTCTGCTGACTGCCTCAGATAAGCACTCTGTAAGTGCCTCCCAAACAGAATACTCTTATACAAGGAGTTCTGGTGTGGCACTGTGGGTTAATGCACTGTATTGCAAGGTGGGTTAGAACAAGGTCAGCGGTTCAAGCTTACCAGCCACTCCTCAGAAACCCTATACAGGGTCGCTATGAATCAAAACTGACTCAATGGCACCTAACAACAACAACAACAATACAAAAATGAAGTAGACTACATATGTGGAAAACAATGATGGAGAAGCTCAATATCGTTAAATCAGAACAAGTCCAGAAACCAGCTATGAAAAAGACCATCAATTGCTCATATGCAAGTTAAAAGTGGAAGATAAAGAAAATGAAAAGTCCACAAGAGGCAAAGTATGAATATAAGGTCGCGATGGGTCGGTACCGACTCGATGGCACCTAATAACAACAACAATTTTAAGACTATCTCAAGAACTGATTGGCTGCACTGAACATTAATGAATGAAAACCATATGTTGTGGGATGACATGACAGCAAAAACATTATCCAAGAAGAATTTAAAAGGTCATTGAGAGGCCAGGGGAGAAAGACATGACCAAAAATGAATGTCAAAGTCATTGTACCAGATGGACTTAAACTGAGCCTTAAAGAATAGGCAAGATATGAATCCATTGACTAATTCTGATACCTATGTACTGTTAAGGAGTCCTGGTGTGGTGCCGTGGATTATTGCACCAGCCTGCAAAGCCATTTGAACTGCAAGGTTGGCAGTTCAAACTTACCAGCTGCTCCTCGGAAATCCTATGCAGGGTTGCTGACTCAATGACACTTAACAACAACAAATGTACTGTTAAAAATATTATTTTATTTTCTCAAAATTTATACCATTAAAGGAATCAAAGAGTGAGTATCCCTACTTCTTAAGGATTATCAAAATACTTACAAAGCACTCTGCAGCATCATCCATAAGTCCAAGCTGAAATCGTTGCTCATCTTTGAAGCTCTCTGCCAGAGCATGCCTTATGTTATCTGAAGGAAGTGCTTTTTCTCGACTGTGTTGAAACTGTGCAAATATTGTCTGTAAATCACCAGTTACATCAGTAAGTTTAATGCCAACAACTTAAAAAAACTTCAAATAATTTCATTGTAAGATAGTAAAATTCAAAACAATTTTTCACACTTAGAAACTGGTACAAAAGTCTTTTACTCTAAAATTTCATAAAATTAAAAAAAAATTTTCATATTAGCACAAAAATGTAGATATTTTGAAACAGTCCCTAAATGAGTAGGAACTTAATATATTAATGTGCATAAAATTAGCAAGCACACTAAGATTCTGATTTTGTAAGCCATGAACTGATTGCAATGCAGGCAGCTCAATTAACAAGTTTTAAGAAAATCTGCTTTAAAATCTAAAACTACTTAGGAAATTAAAATTATGCTAACAAAAATATATGTAAAACCACATTAAAATTAGTATTAACTCAATAATCTTAAAAATAAAAATGAAAACACCCTAAAATAATCTTGAGTGAAATTTTAAAAAATTTCTTCTACCAGGGTCTTAAGTAAACCTCAAAGAATGGCAAACTCCAATTTAAAAACAAAAATTAGACAGCTCCTGGTGTGGCACTGTGGGTTAATGCACCAGACTGCAAAGCCATTTGAACTACAAGGTCGGCAGTTCAAGCTTACCAGCTGCTCCTTGGAAACCCTATACAGGGCCCCTATGGGTAGTAATCAACTCCACGGCACTTAAAAACAACAATGGAATAACAAGTTTCACACTATTATACTAAATTTGCTTTAAAAAGATAAAAAGGCATATTTTATAAAAAGAGTCAGAGAAAAGATAATTACTTGTAGGGCTTTAAAAAAGGTATTTTCAAGTTTTGTATACAAATTCTCTACATGAGAAAAAGTCCATGCATAATGAATTAAAATGAAAAGTCCAGGAGACAGGAATCAGTTCTGAGAAACTGCAAGGAAGCTAGTCTGTATTAGAGGAGGTAGGCTCTATATGTAAGACTATTTAAATTTTGAGATAAGAAACTGAATTATATTTATTTCTATAATTGGGAGTCCTGGTATACCACTGTAGGATAAGCACTGGACCACTAACTACAAGATTGGCAGTTCAAACCCCACAGCCACTCCTATATAGTGTTGCTATGGGTCAGAACCAACTTAACAGCACTTACCAAATTTTATAATTGGTCAAAATAGTCAAAAGTTACTACAGAGAAAATAAAATATAATACTGTAATTTGATCTGAATTCATTCTTCATCCTCTAACAATAACCTGATTTTGCTGTTCTAAAATCCCCATTGGTAAGTTATTCCACAATCCTTTAAAAAACATAAGGAAATTAAAGCACACAAATGCCTTTGTTTTTCGTGTGTGTGTGTGTGTGTGTGTGTGTGTGTGTGCGCGCGCACGCTTGGTGGTGGTGGTGGCTATGTGCTGCGGAGTCAGTTCCGACTCATAGAGACCCTGCATAGGGTTTCCAAGGCTGTAAATCTTTATGGGAGCAGAAAGCCTCATCTGTCTCCCACAGAACAACGGGTAGTTTCAAACTGCTGACCTTGAGGTTAGCAAGTCAACTTGTAACCACTACACTACCAGAGCTCCTCAGGATATTCAATAACATCATTTATCTAAAACACAATGATAAAATATTAAATTCCTAATCTTATTTGAAGAGTCCAGGTGTGGCACTGTCAGATAAACACTGGACTGTTAACCTCAAGGTTGATGGTTCAAACCCACCAGCCACTTGCTGGAAACCCTATACAGGGTCGCTATGAGTTGAAACCATCAAGACAGTACTTAACAACAATCGTATGTGATCTTAAAAGTTTAATTTATAAGACAAATTCTTGGGTAAATCCTTCAGTAGCACAAATAAGTTAAAGGAAATATATTCAGGTTATTACTTAACTACTACTTCTTATCTTGTGACCCCACAGGTCTTCTTTCATCCAACACCTTCTTCAAATCTTGACTCAAATGTCATTTTCTCAGCCACTCAACACTCGCTACCTTTTTTCCTAATTTTGCTTCCTTAGCACTAAATGTCATCTAATATACTACATAGTTCGCTTACCTATTATCTCCGTTACTGTAACAAAACAAACTCCATGAGATCAGGGATTCTTACCAGTTCCTCATTACTTTCTACAACACTGTTGTATCCCCAGCAATTACAGCAGTGCCCACAACACAGTAAGAACTCAATAAGCACTTAATGAATGAATAAAAAAATTATTTCAAATTAATAAAATATGTAATGCTCCAAGCAACTTGGTACTATGTAAAATATTAAATTTAATTACCGTTAGATAAAAACAGCAAACAAAAACATTTGTTGTTGTTGTTAAGTGCCTTCAAAACATAAAACTGAATAAAAGACACTTTAAGAATAAATCTCAAAACTACAAACTACTGGATTATCAACGTTAATTACAAATAAACTGACAATTAAATTTGTAGAGAAACAATTGATAGTATTTGTTCACAGCTATTAAAAAGCTGGATGGAGGCCTGATGTGGTACTGTAGGATAGGCACTGGACTGCTAACCACAAAGTTAGTGGTTCAAACCCACCAGCCACTCCTTGGAAACCCTATAAAGGGTTGATAAGAGTCAAAACCAACTCAACAACACTTAAGAACACCATTAAAAAGTTACCTTCAGTGCACAAAATATGCAGGCATCTCCCTGACAGACATGTCCAGTTAAAATCCGCAAGCTTCGTCGGAATATGTCCAGTTGCCATAAAACCTAAGAAATGGTGAAATGGGAAGGGAAAAAAACCACAGTAAGATTTTTCTTAATGTAAAAAAAAATTCGCTTTTTTTTTTTAAATTTCAAGCTAATAATTAACTTCTTTTTGTCACTTGTGTATAATCAAATTAGATATATATTACCAGTAAATATAATAACAAGGAACCTAGGTTGCATAAGCAGTTTGGCTCAATTGCTACCTTTAAGGGTGCTGGTTTGAACCCACCCAGACCCAGCAACTTTACAAAAGAAAAGGCCTGGAGAACTGTTTCTGGAAAGATTACAGAAAAAAATAAAATAAAAACCGAAGGAGCAATTCTACATTGTAACACATGAGGTCACTGTGAGTCAAGGGCCAACTCAACAGCATATTAACAAAGAATAACAGCAAGTATGAAAGTAAACTGTTAAAGGCTTTACATCTTCATGGATGCAGAAAGCCTCAACTTTTTTCAGAGAAGCAGCTGGTGGGCTCAAACTATGGATGTACAAAAACTGACAATCATAAAACTATAAAGATAGTAGGGTACGTTCTGTGAAGAAACTAAAACAGAAATATGAATTCCAGGAAAGCAAAGAAAGAGATAAAATTATCCAGTTGTCAAGTGCTTTTTCATGTGTTATGCAAACAGAAAACCCTCAAAATCAAAACCTGTTGCCATTAAGTCAATTCCTACTCACAGCAACCCTACGTTATATAGGACAGAGCTCTAAAGGGTTTTCAGACTAAAATCCTTATGGCAGTCAGTTGCCAGCCCTTTCTTCAATTGAGCCATGGATGGGTTCAAACCTTTAGTAGTCAAGCACAAACTGTCTGTACCACCCAGGGATCTTAAACATGGTATTGTTGTTGTTAAGTCCTGTCAAGTTGGTTCTGACTCATTGAGACCCTGTACAGGATTTCTATGGAGCGGCTGGTGTTTTAAATCACCAACCTTGCGGTTAGCAGTCCAGCACTACACAAGACTCCTAAGTTTACAATTGTTGTTGTTATTAAGTACCGTGGTGTTTACAATAAAGATCAGTTAATAAGACTATTAATCAAATTTAAGAATGAACCACTAATACCACAAAGTCCCAGGGTATTTAAATTCAATAAAAGTTTTATTTAAAAATGCCAATATTTAGAATGCACTGCAGAAAGTCTTTGACAGGTATTTAGATGTATGATGAAAAATTTTAGATGTAAATTTAAAAACGTGGCAAAGAAGTACGAACATACCCACTCAATGTATGAAGGTCTACACATTTAAAAAAAAATTATTTAGGGACAATGTTAATAACAGTTTGGTTCCACCATCTATTTCATAGAAGAAAGATGAGTCTTTCTACTCCTGTGACGATTTGCAGGCTCGGAAACCCTATACAGGGTCACTGTGAGTCAAAAGCAACTCCATGGTGCCTAACTATCAACAACATGAACAAAGCTGTTTGAAAATAACTGTCCTAGTGGCCTATTTAGAAAAAGAAAGCCAAAATGCAGAAATCAACGAAAAATAAAAAGTAACAGCAACGTAGAACATGAGAAAGACTAAAAGAACAAGCACATAAAGGTAATACAGGTGTCCAAGGACAATGATTCAATATTTTGCCTCAGGCAAGGTATCAACAATTGTAATTGATTGTAAATACTACTACAAATAAGCCCTAACATTTTCTTTTCTCATTTATTTACCTATCTAAACCTTTCACCACTTTATATTTTCTGTCTTTATAAATAAAGGTGTGTTATAACAGTCAAGCGCTTGGGTTATTTTTGTTAAGTGCTGTCAAGTCCATTCTGACTCTTAGTGACCCTGTATAAGGTTTCCAAGGTTGCAAATCATTGCAGTAGCAGAAAGCATCATCTTTCTACTGCTGGCGGACTTAAATAGCCAACCTTATTGTTCTTCGTCCATCTTGCTCCCCAGCACTTGGCGCTAACTGGTAATTTGGTAGTTCAAACCCACCCCGTGGGTCCAAAGCAGAAATACTCATGATTTGCTCCTATAAAGATTGTTTAAGTGCTGTCAAGTAGGTTCCAACTCTTAGCAACCCAGTATAAGGTTTCCAAGGAGCAATTAGTGGATTTGAACTGCTGACCTTATGGTTCGCAGTACAGTGCTGAATACTACAGCACCGGACCGGGAGTCCCCTGTAAAGACTACAGCCTAAAAACCCTATGCAGTAGCTCTACTCTGTTACATGGGTTGCTAAGAGTCAAAATTGACTCAATGCATCAAGCTGCAATAACATCTTTATAAATAATTGTCAGAATTTTCAACTAAGATGCAATAACAGGTATCAGATTTACCTTCCTGTCTGAAACAACAATGAAATCAGTCAAAATATCTGAAATGGCTCTGAGGACACTGTACACATCAGATAACAAAAGACCGTAATTCATGGAAAATGAATTAGAAACAAATAAAATAGGCTATACAATTGCCCCAGCATATGCTCTAGAGAATGTTTCCAAGCCATGGGACAGTAAAGGTGAACCCAAGGAGTGGCCAGCAGATGGCCTGAATTGAAATGGAGGTGGGAGTGCTAGGGAAGCCAAAGAGGGTCAGAGTACTGAAGAGGAAGGAGCTGTAGCGAGAAACAATAACCATAAATCTTCAGAGAGCCTCCTCTTGACTATTCAGGTAGATACTGATGTATACAATCTTGTACACATGTATACCAGCTGAAGAAAATACCCAAAGAATTATAGGTAACAGTGCCCAGACCTGAGATAGGTAGGTGCCTAGTCCCAACAACCAAGGTAAAAAAAAACTTCATAGTTCCACAGGGTACTGATTATAAAAGAAAAGTCTTGCCTCCGCAGTCGAGAAATTAAGCCTGGAATAAACTGAGCTTACATGTAAAATGGTCAAAACTCTTTCCAAATAAATTAACCTTTATCCCAAAACAAAGCTCAAGAATACTTTTGTTGTTAAGTGCTGTAGATTTCTATCACCCCAATATCTATCACCCAACAAGGTAAAAACTTCTACAGACTGAAATCCAATAAAGAAATCATGCAAAGAAATCCAAAATAAAGAATTTTTAAAAATTAACCAACTGAAAATGACCTATATTTACATGAGTCTATGGTACTGCAGGATAATACACTGGACTGCAGGTTGGTTTGAACTGTAAGGTCAGCAGTTCAAACTCACCAGCTACTCCTCAGAAACCCTATGAAGGGTGGAAATGAATAGGAACCGACTCAAGACACTTAACAATAACAATCTACAATGACAGAATAGACATGTACAGTAAGACAAATACAAATGTATTTCTATGTTCAAGAATCTAGAGGAAATACTTGTTTAGTGCTATAGAGTCAATTCCAACTCACAGTGACCCTCTAAATGCTGGTGAGTGTGAACTGCTGACCTTGCAGTTCAAACCACCTTGTGGTCAAGTGTTACACCAGGACTCCGGAGGAAATACCAAGCATGGTTAAGTAGACAAGAAAGATTTTTTTTTTTAAATACCCAAATGCACCCAGATATTACAACGTCTGAGATGATAAGTACACTGAATGGGATTAACAGCAGATGAGACACTGCAAAATAAACAATTAGTGAATTTGAAGACATGGCCATAGACCTAAATTATATGATTTGAAAAGTGTGATTAATGCAGATATGGTCAACTCAGAGCATCAAACATGTCTTCCTTTTTTCAACACTTAATATGAAAAAGTAGTCCCAGTGATTGGGTGGGTTTAGTAATATAACAATAATATTAAAATAGTAGCTACAGAAAAAAAAAAAAATCAACCAAAGAATCATATACCCAGCAAAATTGCCCCTTGATATGATGGCAAAATTAAGATAATTCGATATAAACAGAATGAATCTATGCTAATTTAGCACACTTCAATCTGGGGAATGTTTGTATTAATGGGTTGATTCCAATTTTTCTTTAAAATTTGAAAAATAGCTTTTAAACTGCTACGTTTTAAAAATTGTTGTTCTTAAGTGCTGTTGAGTCAGTTCTGACTTACGGTGTGACCCAGTAGAATGTTTCCAAGGCTTTAAACCTTTGCATGAGCAGAATATATAATGCGTATTAATGAGCAGGGATCAAATCACAAAAAGGTAGGTAAAGTTTTGTCTGTATGCCTATTCTCCTTTAAACTTTAACCTAAAAAGTGCTTCATAATTACATGAAACTAATGTTTGAGCTTAGCATGATTCAATATGCTCTGGAGTCATGGTTTCAAGCCCACCAGCTACTCCTCAGAAACCACATTACAGGATCTCTATAAGTCAGAACTGACTTGAAAGCACTTAACAACAAAAATATGCTCTTGGTATATATAGCCCTGGCTGGATACAACTAAATTACCACAAACATTACATGGAAAAACAATCCCAACTGCACGTTTTTTCCAGATATTTTAATTTATATATCAAATAGCAAAATATGTAATCACAAATAAAAGTTAAAAAAAAAAAGAAAAACCCACCAAAATCAAGATACACATTCTAAGTAAGAATGAAGAATATAAAACATATATGAGTATTTTATAGCACATGCACACATTTTATACTGATTACATTTTCTGGACTATAGCTTTCCTCATTATTCACAAACCTTTAAAATTAAATAAAAATTCCTACAAATTGAGTGAAAATTGTCTTGGCACAAAATTAAGTATAATATTTCTATTAAGTAAGCATCTTAAAACCATTTTTACATCACAGAAATGCAACTTTCTGTTTAAAAGATCATTTCTGTTTATTATAGAAACTAAAATACTCAGTTAAAATATTTTTGCTAACATTAAAAATGATATTTTTAAAACTTAAAAAAATTTAACAAGTAATTATGGTCTCACCTGTACAGCACTATTAAGAAAGCAGCTGTTTTGTCCTGGTTCATTTAATAAACCTTTGGTAGGGGCTAGAGATAGCATACTTCCAGGTTGGTAAACTTTTCCAAGATTGCTACCAGGTTTCCGTAAGAATTTTACCCATGCCATTTTCAAGCAAATTTATTTGCAAAAAGCTTAGAATTAGATACTTATGTGATGTTTCTAATGATAAAATGAATGACGTCTTTAACTATGCACTCAAATTCTGTGTAGTCTATTGCAATAACACAAGTTTCCAAGTCCATATCTTTCCTGATGCAACAAATTTTTTAAAAGTATTTCATCAAATAAAAATAGAGTATATATATGTTAATGGTCTGAAAGTTTTAAAAGGAAAAAAGATAAAGTAAACAATGTCACAGATCTTTGTGTGTTCTATTTCATAGAAGAGTTGTACAGTTTAAATGGATGACATTTTAAATGTTGTTAAGAATAATATTGATGAAAACATCATCTTCCTTTACGTCATTTGTCTTGATGGGTTAAAAAATAGATGATACCAAAGATGTAGAGTTGGCATTTGGTATAATTCCTCAGGTCATTTACTTTTCTTATGTTTTGTTTTGTTTTAATGAGAAAAAAGATACTCCTTTCCAGATGAAGTTATCAAAGTTGCATCCATATTTCAAATCAATGTGATCTCAAAGCAAATCTAAAAGAGAAAAAAAAATGTTTAAAAGTAGAGACTAATAATGAAAATTTCTACTTTTGCTATTTGAATATAAATATTGAATCAAAATTAATTATAAAATGGATTAAAACTAGTATAGTTCTAAAACATGAAAATTTAAGCATATTTAATTTAAAATTTTAATTAAAATTTCAATATAATATCAATCACTACTCATCTCAAACTTTCAATATTTGAAATGATAGTTTCATAAGAAAAATGCTCTTCAAAGAACTAAAATCAATTACACCTAAGGAATCAACATTTGAATTGCTTTTTAATAAAACAAATAGATATAATTATATTAAAAATGCTATATTATCTATCTTACACAAAGAATACAATTTCCCTTAAAAAAAGTCAGTTGATTTTATATAAATTGATATGCATAAAAACTCTGAAGAAAACTGTAGTTAATAAATCCTAATGAATTAAAGTAAAAGAACCTTAAATGTTAAACTTCTTAATTAAAAACAATCATGTTTTACTAACAAAGCTTTTTTAAAATCAATTGAATTTCCTTCCTTCCTTCACTTATTCAATAAGGATTTATTAAGTCTTATGCTGGTGCCAGGCACTTAACTAACACAATTAAAACTTTAAGGAGATGAAAAAGTCATCTGAGAAAGAACATTTGAAAGCACAGTGAACAGTAACTTCAGATTCTGAGGTTGGTGTACGCCTGGTATGTTGGCGGAATACTAAGAAAGCCTAGTGTGGCAGGAGAAATGTGAGCAAAGCAGTGAACACAGGGCAGAAAAGGTAGAAACAGAGGATGGAAAAATGACAAGTCACATAGGGATCCACATACCCTGGGTACGTTGGTATGATAGCTAAGGTTTTGTATCAGCTGTCTGGGCCAGGATTCTCAGTGGTTCAACAGTTAACATGTAGCTATCACCTCTATAATGGGATCTAATACAATACATTCAACCCCATGCATGATATGATTTGACACGTTGAGCCCTGATCTGATATACTTATTTGTTGTTGTTTTTAAGTGCTGTGGAGTCAATTCCAACCCATAGCGACCCTGTATATGGTTTCAGATGTGCAGCTAGTGGATTTGAACTGCTATGACATTGCAGTCCAGTGCTTATTCTATAGCACTACACCCTAATGTACTTATTTGTTGTTATTAGTTGTTAGGTGCCATTGAGTCAATTCCGACCCATCGTGACCCTGTATAGGGTTTCCGAGGAGCAGCTGGCGAGCTTGACCCGCTGACCTTGCAATTCAAATGGCTTTTGCAGTCTGGCACATTAACCCACAGCGCCAACTACTATGTTGTAAATCCTCACTTCCATGATTTTAATGAGGGCAGATGCAATATACAGGATTAGGTTTTATCCTGAGTCAATCTCTTTTGAGATATACAAGGAGAAAGTGAGCTGAACTCAGAGGGACCTACTACCACCAAGACAGAAGAACCAGTAGTAGAATGCATCCTTTGGACCTGGCACTGTGACGCTCCTAGATGCAAAATGTATGGAGATCTCCAAGGAATACAGGGCCTACAGATGTTGCAAGGAGACAAGGACCATTCCCCAGAGCTGACAAAGGGAGAGCCTCCAAGAGCTGGCACTCTGAATTTGGACTTCTAGTCTAAACTGTGAGATTAAATTTCTAGTGGTTAACACCACCCACTTGTTGTATTTCTGGTACAGCTGCATTATATAACTAAAACAATTGTTAAGCCACTGGAGTTTCTTTTTCACAGCCCAAAAAAGATGAGAGGCAGTGGGGCACAAGTCAGTATCATTGATCAAATACCCTGTAAAATAGGGAGGTATCACTGATTAATGACTGATCAAATATCTTGTAAGATAGGGAGCAAAAAATAATAAACCTCAGTTCTTGGGAATGGAAGTCAGAAGGCCATTTCCAGGCCTAACCTTATCACTAAACTGCTAAGTCTTGAATTTAGAGTCCTGGCGTGGCACTGTGAATTAATGTGCTGGACTGCAAGGTTGGTTTGAACTACAAGGTCGGTGGTTCAAGCTCACCGGATACTCAAAGACTCCATCGCACTTAACAACAAAGTTATCTAGGAATCCTGGTATGGCTCTGTAGGATAAGCACTAGATGGTTCTATTTTAAAAAGGATTTACTAGGGTAAGCACTGGACTGTTAACTGCAAGTGTTATGCCCAGAATTTGAGGTCCCCAAAGACCATCAAGGAGCCGACACCGATGCAAGTGCACAAGGGTTGTTTATTCAAGCTTGAGCTTGGGCATTCTCTGTATCCAGCACAGCGGACTCGGGAAAAGGCCCTGAGATCTTTGTTAGCGGAGTTTTTATAGAGTTTTCAAACAAGCTTAGGTTTTTCAACTTCACAATATTTGGATTGGTTGACATTTGGCAAAGTATGAGATGTTACAGTTTAATTGGTCAGTACTGGTAGTCTTTGTTCTTAAGCTAGGATAAGGAAAACATCTGGCATCTGGCCTTGGGTTGTCCTGTCTATTACCTATCTAGTTCTCGCTGTTGCTAGGGGTGAAAGGATATTCTAAGGCAGTATGAGCTGATTTAGCACGTTCCTGGAACAGGAGGATGTGTTCAGGCTAATGTACAGAATGGAGTCTTTTTCTTGGTCCTACACAAGGTCGGTGGTTCAAACCCACCAGCCAGTCCTCAGAAACCCTATATCGCTGTAAGTCAGAACCTTTGATTGTGTGGATCATGACAAGCTATGGACAACATTGCGAAGTATGAGGATCCGGAACACTTTATTGTACTTATGAGGAATCTGTACATGGACCAAGAGGTAGCTGTTCGAACAGAACATAGGAACACTGAATGTTTTAAAATTAAGAAAGGTGTACGACAAGGTTGTATTCTTTCACCATACTTATTCAACCTGTATGCTGAATACATGTATGGTTCTATGAAGAAAAACGTAGCATCAGGATTGGAGGAAAACTCATTAACAACCTGCAATATGCAGATGATATAACCTTGCTTGCAGAAAGTGAAGAGGACTTAAAACATTTACTGATGAAGATCAAAGAGCATAGCCTTCAGTATGGATTACATCTCAATGTAAAGAACACAAAAATCCTCACCACTGGACCAGTAAACAACATTCTTATCAACGGAGAAAAGATTGAAGTTGTCAAGGACTTCATTCTTCTTGGATCAACTATCAACACTCAAGGGAGCAGCAGTCAAGAGATCAGATGACGTATTACATTAGTCAAATCTGCTACACAAGACCCTTTAAAGTGTTGAAGAGCAAAGATGTCAGCTTGAGGACTAAGGTGTGTCTGAAAACCATGGTGTTTTCAGTAACCTCATATGCGTGTAAAAGCTGTACAGTGAATAAGGAAGACTGGAGACGAATTGATGATTTTGAGTTATGGTGTTGGAGAATATTGAAAGTGCCATGGGCTGCCAAAAGAACCAATAGATCCATTAGGAAAGAAGTGCAGTCAGAGTGCTCCTTGGAGGCCAAGATGGCCAAACTTCGTCTCTCATACTTTAGACATATTGTCAGGAGGTACCAGTCACTGGAGATGGATATGATGTTTGGTACGGTGGAGGGTCAGAAAAAAAGAGGAAGACCCCTAGAGTGAGATGGACTGGCCAAGTGGCAGCATCGATGGACTCAAGCATGGCAACAGTAGTGAGGCTGGCCCAGGATTGGGCAGTGTTTCGTTCTGCTGTGCATAAGATCGCTATGAGTCAGTACCTACTCAATGGCACCTAACAACAATAACAACAACATAAGTCAGAACCACTTGGCTTCACTTAACAACAAAGTGATCTAAATGATCCTGAAACCTTTTACACAAATGATTTCTAAAAATAAATTTACTACTGCTTTACAAGAACTGTGCATTGGTAGTTGTTGCTAAGTACTGTAGAGTCGGTTCTGGACCCTCTACAACTAAGATATTGTTGCTTGCTGGTAAGTGCCATCAAGTCGGTTCCAACCCTGTATAGGGTTTCTGAGGAGTAGCTGGTGAGTTTGAACAGCTGACCTTGCAATTCAAACCAACTTTGAAGTCTGGTGCATTGACCCACAGGGCCACACCAGGACTCCTAAAACAAAGACACAAGAGACCAATTGAAACCGACACAGATGAAAATTCTGGAAGACTGAACTTCGGAGGAAAGGTTAGAGAAGTAGACTGATGACTTGCTGGGAAGAGAAGCTAAGCAGGGATGGTGAGAGAGAGAGTCTGACTCGTGAACAACCCGCAAGATACAGCTCAACTATGTTGTGAGCAGCTTTAGGCCTGACAGAAGATTCACACATTGGAATGGAAAGGTGCTATTCCTTCTTTTTCTCCACATTCCCTGGTGACCAGAGGTGTGGCCAGCTCCCACTCTCATCTACCCACAGAGTAGACTCTGCAGTCCAACAGTTCAGAGTTATATGGCTGGATCCATTGAGCTAGCTGCACTGTTTTGGTGCCTACATTCAGGCGGTATC